CTGTTATTCAACAAAAAAAAAAAGGTAACAACAAACCACTAGTAGAATAGGCTTATGGATGAGAATTGTATTCATTAGAAAGGATTAAAAAGTCTAAACTGCTCTATTCCTTTGTAGTCTTTAAAAAAAAAAAAAAAAAAAAAATTGGACACAGAAAACATAGAAGGGTGATTGCAGGTGTCTCATTCTTTCTCTTTTATGACAAGAACATCTTGTAACTCGAGCAGGGAAGGAAGACTTGCATGTGAATGATGTTTCCAGCTTTGTATTTTACTTTGTGTGAACTTTGGGCAAAGTTGTTAATTGTCTTTTTCTAGGCTGTGGTTCTACAACTTCAGTCAACTTCACTATCCAGTCCTGCTCCCTTCCTTGCATTGGAACTGGTGCTGTCTTAGCCATTTGGTAATGTGTCTCAGCTCTCTCAAGCTGGTAGAAAGAAAACATAGCAACCCTCTGCCCAAAAAACTCCCAGCAAAACCCAGAATTCTGCCAACCGACTTAGCTGATGTAACTTACTGAGGGGTTAGAGTGCCAGTGCTGGGAGCGGGATTGCTTGCCAGAAGCATGGCAGTTCTGTGTAAGCATTGATTCCAGCTGGCTTCAATCGTGGACTACCATAAACCCATGCCCTGTTCTGAACAGGGCTCATGCTTGCTTCCTGGTAAAATTCAGTGACCTTTTTTGAGGTCTTGGATGAATGGAAGAAATGAAGCACGCGCTACCTGCAAATACCAGTGCAGCGTGGGAAGTGTTGTTTTAGACTTTACGAAGTCTTGAATGCCTGCTGATATGAGCCCTCTTTTTTTAAAGTAATTGTGACAAAAGTGCTTGTTCTTTGGCCTAGGATTTGCATCAAAGGGCCTATTTTGGTGGCTGAAGTTTTAACAGAACATAGTGCAACTGAGACTTCAATCATTGTCAGTTACTTGAAGAGAAGAAGTGTCCTGAACTATTTTCTTTGTTACTTAGCAGTGGAAATGACTTTTTTTACATTACAAACTACCAGACTTTTAGGAATTGCATTTTACTTATATTAAGCTTTGACTGGAAATCAAATGGGTAAAATGTAGAACATTAAGATGGTAATTACTTTGTTAAGGAATTGTATGTAAGCGGAAACTGGGTTGTTTGTACAGTTTCATAGTGAACAGCATTCTAAAAGTATTCCAGGATGGATAGATGTTAAATGCTATAATGACTTAGTGTGAGTCTGCTTAAGTTCCAAGAATGAAAGCATTAGTGAACCACAATAGTGTATTTTAAGCAAGGTACTTAAGGGAGATTCTTCCCCATAGAATTTGATATTTGATAGAATTTGATAGAATTGTCATAAAATGAGCACAAAGTGGCATTCAGAAGATCTTGTTCTGATAGTGTTTCTGCACAACTTTGAAAATAAATAGTAAGAAAATAAATCTGTTAGAAAGGAATATGCAGTTTGTTTTGCAGTATTTGCATTGATCTGTGTTCTTTTTGCATGCATCTCTGTAAAATGATTTTTAAAAGCAGAATTTCCTAGAAACGTGCTCATTCTCAGTGTAGCAGGAAAAGCTACATGCAAAAGCGTATCTAATTCGGAGTGCTGGAGCTTCACCATCAACAGCGGTTGGCCTTTGTGCTCAGCTTCCTGAAACATGGATTTAAGAGGAGGACAGTTGTCCTGGTATCTGTCCCAAGATGAGATTTAACAGACTTGATCAAAACTGAGTTTGATTGTTAGGCTTTGGCAAGAATGAAAGGTGAAGCATTTGTGCTTCCCAAGCATGCTTGCATAGTCTTTAATCGGAGCATCTTTAATAAGTATGATTACCTTCATTTCAGCTGAAAGAATTAGTTGACTGTAATTTATATACAGTTGACTCTGTGCAATTTATATACAGATGATGCACAGCAGACACTTATTTGCATATACATTAACATGAGAATGCTTTGGAGGGGATGCCAGCAAAAAGGTTGAGAGCCACGATTCTTTGGGTTCACTTTATACTAGTTTCCCTAGCGTTTGATGTGGACTTTAAGCGTTACAGGGAAGCGGACTGCAAGGTTCTGTATTTCAATATAACAGATGCCCTTCCAAGTAAAATTACGGTAAGAGTGGGATGATTGCAACCACTGGGTAATACTATATAATTATACTTACACATGTTGGGTCCTTCAGAGAAGACCTGAAAATAATTATTTTTAATTAGAAGTGATCTGAAGTTTTGTCTGCATTACAAAAGCTGTAAGCACTGTTTGTAGGCTGGTGGAGCTCTACTTGGATTTCAGTGGTGAAAGCTAGAGTGTGAAAGCAAAAGTGGTGAAAGTACGTACCTGTTCAACCAAAGTTGAATTAATGTGTGTGTGTGTACACACACAAATTTTGAAGTATGGATGCATTTTAAGTGGAAGTTGACATTGTTTCCAGTAAGAGGCAGCTTGCAGGCTCCCAGTGCCATAGGTTTTTTCCCCCTTACTTAAGTGGAATTCCTTTCTCTTAATCTGCACTTTCTTTGAGATCAAGTCTGATGAGTTGTCTGACCTTTTCTATTCATTTTCTGTACCTTTTCAGCTTTGTATGGCTTCTGTTTAAGTAATCCCTCAGAATGTACGTCCTTGTGTTCTTCTGCAGTCACCAGCTACTAATACTTCTAATAGTTGGGTGGTGTTCTTATATTTTACCCAAATATTCGCAGAATGCTCTGGCTGGTTTTCCAGTCCTCTTTCTTTCTTTCTTCTCATTGCCATTCAGAATGGTGAGAGGGTTACAGGGTCTTCTTTCCTCCTAATTGCTGTAGAGACTGCAAGGAGGAGCAGCATATTTGTAGGGATATGGGGGTGTGGGAGAGTCCTGTTTGTATTTGAGTGGAAGGATATATCCACCTCCCTTAAGACTTTTACCCCACAACTCAGAAATGCTGAAACTGAAGTAAAGCTTGAACCTCTTACGGATTTTGTAAGTTTAGAGACAAAATGTGACAAAATCAACATTGAAAGAGGAGCAGAGATGTGAATGAGAAGGAAATGCAGGGAAATATTAAGGGAACAGACTGAAAGTTTTCATGTAAATGAGAGTTCTTATTTAGAAAGGAGGATACATAAAAGAAAGTATGGGGAAAAAAGAACAGTCTTGCTACAGTGAAATATTAGTCCAGCAAAATATGCTTGTTGGTTATGGTGCAGAAGAGTTAATGCTATTAAAACTCCACGGGGCTTCAGTGGAATATAATGCTTTATACTTGAAGATGACTAGTTTGCTGTAGAACATTTCCAAAGAGATTTGTGTCAAACTCTTTTTTTGATGTTCGTCAGGTGATTAAAACATGCTGCTCTGGGGAACTTTCTCGTACTATGAGATGTAAATGGCAGGTTGTTTGTTTTTTAACTCATTCTTAATGGATTCTGTTGTGTTGATATGCAATCAAGTATGAAGCTGGAAAAAGTAAAAGCAATTCTATTTAAGATAGTATTATTGCAAAGGGGGTGTGGGGGGGAGGGAGTCCAAGAAACTGGTGAATCTTGTAATTCTCTTAGAGCGAGTTTTGAGTGTTTTGTGAAACTTGATAAACTTTCTCACAGTGTTTACTTTCTGATTTCCTAATTTTGCACAAATGTTTCTCTTACTTCTGTTGTGTACTAGGTGCTGCTAAAACTCTTGGCACAGAGCTGTTTTTAGTGTTACTTTAAAAAGCAAACTATTTATGCTTTATACAGTCACTTAACATAGGTTTATCAGTGCAGCTATACTGATAAACTTAACTCAGATTCCTGCCATAACGTATTCTGTAACTAAAGTAGTGCATGCATAATTATGACTTTTTCTTGCTTCATAAACTTTATTTACAAAATTCTGTTAAACTATGTTAAACTGCTTAACACAATGTTCATTTAAGTAAGACAGCATCTCAAGATGTAGAAGAGGAAGTGACTCAAGTATCAGATACTAACAGTTAATAAGAAAGTCTGGTTTCATAGTGTGCCCTCCTGTCTTGCTGTCGGAGGCTATTTGTAGTGAAAAGTGTGCACTTGCAGGAAGAGAAGTGGTAAATGTAAACATATACAGAAAACCAGATGATTGACAGTATTGGGGTTAAAATACAGGGATTTTTTTTCTAAAATATTAGAAAAGTAGGTGCAAACAGTACTCTTATAAGAGGCACCTGGTGGGCTTGCTTGTGAGCTGTGCTGCAGTGATTTATTTTCCTAGAAGTACATAGGTGTACTAGAAAAATTTGAGAAGCATCTTCAATGCCATTTTATTTTCCTTGGTGTTCCTTTTTAGAACTGGGGATTTTGTTTTATTCCTGCCAGTGATGCTAGCTGTAGGTGCCTTTTTGGTGCGTGAGTACACAATTCAGAAATGACTGGACCCAACTGTCAGCTTGTCATAGGCTCTGAAGAACTTAGCAGCAAGTAAACAAATAAATAAATGTGAGCTAGCTGTCTAATACAGAAAATCTTTTGCCACTTACTTCTGTAATACTTGGGCTGTTGACAGTGGATGAATTTGGTGCTGGTAAGGGACTGGAATCCCAGGCTTGAAATGGCAGTGGTAATAGACCATAAGTATTTGCATCCCTTGGCTAGATGCTTTAGGAAAGAAATGGGAAGAAACCAAGATTGCTAGAATGTAGATAGGTAAGTGATTGACAGATGATAGATGACATGGGGGGAGAAGTCCAACACATGTGAACTCCTGCAGTGGGTTATAGATTTGCATGCCATGGGGGAGCTCTTAGGGATGGAAATGTTTGGAAAGCATGCTCTGCAACAGGGAGTGTTTCATCCCTGAGACATTCTGTAGCCGATTGAGCGCTGTGATGCTTTGAAACTTACTTCTGCAGTGACTAACTCTTGCTTGTAGCTACATTTTTAATGTTGGTGAGTAGTGGAATTGCTGCTTTTTCCTCTGTTACTTTTTCTTCTGATATGCTTTCCCCCATTTCCAGTTCCATTTTAGTTGCTGAGATTTAAAGCTTTCCCTATACTTGAGTAAATACTTTTTTTTTTTTTTTCCCCCTCCTGGATTCAGTTACTGAAATCATGAATCCTGTGTATAGCCCTGGATCTTCTGGGGTTCCCTATGCAAATGCCAAAGGAATTGGTTATCCAGGTAAGGAACTCTGTTTTTTTTAATGAGTTTCAGTTACACTAATCTTTGTAATCAAGAAGAAATAGTCACTTATGAATGGCTTCATGTATGGTAATCTGTTTTGGGATTTGGGTGGGGTTTTTTAAATGTAAAAAGTGACATTTCAATAGTGATGTTAGTTGTTCTGTTATATTTCTAACTTCAGTATCTCTTCCAAAGCAGCTTATTTCAGGAGCTCTAATAATTACGCCCTGCAAGAAGAGGAGTCAGTCTATTTCTGCTGCTAGTTGGCTGGCACTGTTAACCTTTCTATCCTCTAATTCTTGTTCATGCTGTTTTATGACTGCCCGAAGCATAGCATCAAAGGTGGGACCAAGAAAATGGCCAAAAAATGTTTTAAAAACAGAAATTAAATGTATTTCTTGCTTTCTCTGCTTCTCATTTGGCTTCAAGTTTCTCACTAGAGTTTTTTCCCCCTCATCTCCTAATGTGTGCGTGTGAGCAGGCTTCATTTCTGATGTCCCCATAGTTCAGAAGTTGGATAAGGCAATAATTAGATTTGGACAGCATTTTCCAGGAAGGCCGAAGAGAAGGGCTGTGTGCCTCTGTGAGGCATTTCAAGCAGTATGTCTTGATGCAGTCTTTTTTTTCCCCGGTATCTGCGGGGTAAGGGAATTACTCCATCCTGGGAGAGGCTGGAGGGTCTTTCAGCTCGGATTTTATGTATCATAACCAATTAAACTTTTGTAGCTTTTACAGGGAGGCTGTTTTGTGATTCAGTTGATGTCTGTGCTGGGAGCTAGAAATCATTATGTGCCACTGTACTGTATTTTCCTACTAGTATTTACAGTTTTTAAATTTGTTTTTTGGCTTAGGTAGTGTACTGGAGTTCCTGTTTTCCTGTTCCACTTTTCTCTGTTCCTTCTTCTAAATACTGGTGCATAAATGAACTTTCTTTACTGTTGACTTGATCATCTCAAACCTTTTAATTTTTATTTTTGCTTTTCAGGTACTTTTAATTTTTTCCTCAATCTAGTGTACCTTTCTTGATTCGTACAGTAATTACAAGGGGAAAACACAGACCATGTTGCAATGTTTTTAAGTCTATTGAGTGACTGAAATGGTGCGGTAATAAATTGTAAAGCTGATGATGTGTAACCATAAGTCCCGCAGGATGGTTTTATTCTCTGTAACTGTCTTAGTTATATGGACTGCAGCAATTTTACTATAAGGCAAGCAGCAGTGGTTTACTAATTAATATCAGTTACAGTAGAATTATTTCTATATTCATAATAGATTGCTTTTTCAAGGCTTTCTTTTGCTTTAGATAAAGATTATTATGAATTATTTAAATATAACTTTGTATTTTTATCTCTATTCAAATGAAACCCTGGTTAATATAAATCTGTGTTTAGAAAATGTACTTACAACCATTTACACATTGCATTGAAGCTCTTGTTTATACTAATCTAAGTGGTACCTTAATTTACGTAGTAAGATATACTACTGTAGATTCATAAATAGCAGTTTAAACAACATTACAACTTCTAATCTTTTATTCTACTGTTATAATTCAATATGTAGTCTAATATATATATATAGGTACGGTATATTTGCCAGTCTTTACTTGGTTGTAAATTAGCATAACTAAAATATGTGGAATTGAAGTAGAATTGTTATAGAAGTGCCTTAAATGTCATGCTACAAGTTGATCGCTCAAAATTCTTCCTTACAGCAGTCAGTCAGTCAGTTTACACAACTGTGACCCTTGAATTCAGCTTGGTCCGTAAGTTCTACAGTGTTACACTGTTACAGATAGTTTGCTGAGCTGCCTGGTTCGTGCTTAAAGATCATGGGATAAACATGAAACACATTCTCTAAAACAAAAAGTAGACTTGCATTTTAGGATTTTTTTTTTTTAAATTGTTTCATGACTAAGTCTCCCTTCTTTGCCTCTCCTAATTTAAAAGCTACAGATTCTCCATTCACAATCATTGAATTTACATTGGTTGCATGGTAATAGAAAGTAATGAACTTACCGCTATGTGGAATGTATTATTTAAAGGCACCATGTTTCTAAAGCTGTTGCATATTTAATAGCTGTTTATATTATACTACACCTATTTGAGGTTGTTGGATGGGTTTACCGTAGCAAGGAATCAATATCCAAATGTTCTCACGTGGATGAAAGTTCTGTGTAGAAGTTAAAACTGCTGCTTGTCGTAGTTGCATTTTTCACAAACGACTTGATTCTTGAGCAGCTCAGAATGCTCTACTGTTGAGCTAAACCTGTGAAGAAAGAACAGAGGACTGAAAATGTATACAACATAAATAATGTTGCGGATGTGTAGTCAGTTTGAGTAACGTGTAAAGCTGTACTAAAGCTTTTCACTAGCAGCTTGTGAATTTGAAATCTTAAGAGCTATTTACACTCTGAAAAGTTGTTATGAATTGGATATGTTATTTTTACCTTTGATTTTTAAGCCTAATGCTTTTCTTAGTCTTAGCCATGCTGACCACCTAATAGTAGTGCCAAGTGTATGTCACTTGATATGTTTACAGAGTGCTTTACAAAACTAGGTTAGCATATATAGTCCTGAGCTAAGGAATTTTTATTGTTAGGAGTAATTGCTAAGGACTCTGGGATTTATAGCAAAATAGAAACCCTTCAAATATGAATAGCCATTTAAAACTAGCAGCTTTAAGCCTGACAGTGAATATGCAAATAGTAATTGACTTATATCTGGAGAAGTTGAAATCTTTATATCTTGATAACAAAATGTGGTAGTAACTCTGTCTTTCTAAATACAGACATTACTCAGTTTTAAAGTTTGGAATAATGTAAATAAGCTCCTGGAAAAATTAATAGCTATGATTAATTCAGCAATTTCACTTACTACAATCTAAACAAACTTTGTATCTTTTAAGTAACTGTAGCTTCTGCTAATGCTGGTTTTTGCCTTGTGTTGGAGGCCAGTATATTGCGATGTTAGTTCAGCCATAGTGGTTCTCGTATTCTGGTGTAGAAGTGTTTACCTACCACTTTGCCGATACCTCGGTGAATCACTTGTTACTGTTAACTGTCATAGTACATGCCTGAAACTGGTGAGCTTGTTTGATACCTGAGTGTAATAACAAATCTTTGTCAAATGCAACAAGCGTTTTAGACTACCTAAGGTTGCTTTGTACTCTCTACTTGTGATATCTCTGATCTGGAGAGTCAGAGTCACTCTGACTTCTAGGGATTTATTTCTGTGAAAAAGTCCCTTCAGATAAATATTTTATGTACATCAGGTCTTAAAACTTGCGGGGGAGGAGGGTTGGATAGTTGCACAAAACTTTGTTGTCCAACTAACTTAAGAGTTACTTGGCCAACTTTGAGACTTGCTGAAACAGGCATGTAAGGGAGAATGGCACTTGTGACTCCTTAGCTGTTCCCTACATCTAGCATTCAGCTTCAGGTGGCTTGAGAGAAGAGGAGCCCGGTGTTTTAGTTGAGGAGGTGTGATTGAAGGCCATCTGTTAGCTCATCTCAATTAAAAGATGTACAGCGAGAATCTTTGAGAGTAAAGTCTAGTTAGACTGTGCAGTCAGTCTAGAAAATAACTTTGACATATGCTTTCTTCTAGCTGGCTTCCCAATGGGCTATGCAGCAGCTGCTCCTGCCTATTCCCCTAATATGTATCCTGGAGCAAATCCTACCTTCCAAACAGGTATGTGTAATAGGTATGTCAAAGCAGTAACCTGAAGTTTGGAAGTTGTTAGAACCAAGAAAGGAAAAGCTGTAGGGGCTTACGATAACTCATACTGTGGGATAAGTTTTACATTACTTTGAATATGACTCACAAGGAATCATCTCGTAAATTAAAATGAGTATAATCTTGTCTTAAGTCCTACTGATTTCACCTTCAGAGAAGGGAGAAGCTGAGTTTTTAGCTGTTGCTTCTATATTTCAGGCTGATACTTGAGGATTGCGTCACATTTCCCTTGACTACTTCCTTCTCGATTCTGCTTGCTTTGCATCCTACTGGTTGTTTCCAGATTTCTGTTTTTTCTTCTGTCATCTTCAAAATTCTTCTTTTTCATTCTTTTCTTAAATGATATCTCTTTCCAAGTTCAGCTTGCTGCCTTCTTTCTGCCCTTAAAATTGTCTTCCACGAACTAATTGTCTGGGTAAAACTGTTTTGTCCATAGTGGATATCAGGGGAGGATTTAGGTCACTACACTTGCATGTTTGTTATTTAAGAGAAAGGGAATGTGATGAGCCTAGGAAAAGGGAGATGGAAAAACAGACACGAGAAACCAAAGCACTCACCTAAGTTGTTTTTATGTAGTTCTGCTTTCACTAATAGAAGATGATTTTGATGCACTAATGCTTGAAACAAAACAGAAACTGGTAGCATTTAATTTCCACTTGAACCAGCAACATACATCTGATAGAACAGTATTCTCCCTGGGGTTATTTTGCATACTAAGGAATTCCTTACGTTGCTTTGTTAATGTAGATCTGGGCCATCTTCAGGAGCTCTTTCACTTGCATGTATTATGCCAGTTTTTCAGAGATACACATGGCACATAACTAAATTTGTCCCTGAATGCCCTTGTGCAACTTATGGGGATAGGAAAGGATGCTGCTTGAAATGGGGAAGCTTATGTTGTGGAAGCCTGCTTGCAATATTGAAGTTCAATGTTTGTAACATACAGCATTTTGTTAATTACCAGGAGACTCTTAAAAGGGTGTGGCAGAAATTACTGAGGCAAGGGAGTAAGTCATCTAAAATGTTTCCCTGCAGAACCTGTTAAAAGTGTGTAGCTGTGTAGCTTTCCTTGGAACTCTGGAGTATTCTAGTTGGTACAACCTGTGTCTGCGTTCAGTTTTCCGCTTAGAGGCATAGAGAGTGCAGAACTGATTTTGGCTTGGCTTCGGTCTTGAAGGTAGGGAAGCGGATAGATACTATAAGTTCCAGTAATTTAAAAAAAAAAAAAAAATCTATCCTTTGGATAGGGTATTGCCTCTGTGCAAGTATCATATCTAGGGGTACCAGCTTGCATTTGCACTGGATTGCTTAAGAACTTTTTTGAGAGTGATGTTCAAGGGAGAGCAGTTCCCATCAGGGGTATAACTCTTAGCATGGGAATCAAAACCCTATGTGGGCTTTTATTATCGGCTTGTATTACTAATAGGCCATTCAGTTTCATGGTTGAGATTACCTTAGAAGGCAGACACATCACTGTGCTCCATTGTATATATCATCAGGATTCCTGCAGCTGTGCTGAGGAATAGCTGTAACTTTTGATCCTAGGATCAGATAACTGAAAGGTAGTTCATCTTATTACTGGTTGCAGTTTCCAGAGCCTACTGCAGGAAGGTGAAGATAAGCTGCATGTAATCAATTTACCAAATCACGAGACTGATGTTTTTATCCAGTTGATTGGGTTTTCTTCCTCCGTGTCAGTTATGTTGTAACAGAAGGTTATGGTTTTTGGGGAAGTTTCTTTACTTGTTAGACTTAATCATGTTGTAAGATTAGTTTGTATTGATAAATCTTGGAATATATCTCATGCTATATAACAAAGTTAGAGTAAGAAATGTTTCACTTTTATGTGGAAAAGGAATAAAGACGTATAGAAGTCATATAACATCTTCAAATGTCCTTAATTTTTTTTAAAGCTAGTACTATTAGAGTCTTTTATTGCTGTTGAATAGAAAATAAGCTTTTATTTCGGAACTAAGAATAGCTTTAATTTTTAGCTGCTCTTTAAGCTATGAACTAAAGTGCAAAATGCCCATGTCTAATTCAGGCAGATAACAACTTGAAGTACTTTGTCCTAACAGTCAGGATTTATTTTATTTATTTCTTTTTAACTTTTCTGATGTAACTGCTTGTTTGTAGAATCAAAGCTTTTGTAAATTTATATCACGCAGCAGTATTTGAATGTGCTGTGCCACTGCTGTTCAGAAAGGGTACCTTTTTACAGGTATCTTTCTCAAATTTCCGTGTTTTTGAATAACCGTGTGGTTTACTTTTAAGGTCTTTGCTCCCTGTAAAGGAGAAAAAAATTAAATGGGAAGGCAGAATACCTCTTGTACAGATGTACCAGTTTGCAAGAATGAAAGTTAAATTGCTTGTGCAGCTGTATCAGTGGGTTTTTAGAATGAGAGTGGGCTTGACTGACGACATAGTTGTAGTTCAGTAGTAATGCTTCATGTTCAGCATTTTGTAGCTGAGTCTTTCAACACAAATAGCTCCCCATACTAGAAATAGAAGTTACTTCCTCAGCATGCTCTGTTCTTCAAATACTTAGGATCTCTAAAAACAAGAGTTCAGCGTAAGTGCTGTGGTAGCTTTCTTTAGTGTCTCTAAAGGTAATAAATTCTATTTAAAGAAAGAAAAAAAAAAGAAAAATTTCTTCGTTAACAATTTTCAATTTGAAGGGTGGAATGAAATTGGAAAGAAGCTCAGACTTCTGCAAAAAGAATGGTTATCTGTCATCATGCTGTCTGCACAGACTGATTTTTCACAACACAAATGCCAGTGTTCTCTCTGGTATATGGCTTCAGATCTGTTCTCTGTATTGAAGTCAGCACATTCTAGACAGTTTTTAAAGTCAACCTAATCTCTATTCTGATAGTCTCATTTTTTTTTTCTATAATTACCAGGTGTTTTTTCTTCCTTGTGTTGCTCTAGTACTGGTTTGTACAATTCCAACTAAATAGAAATCGTATCTGTGGATGTTTGGTCTCCTACTGTGGTGGACCTGCATGACACCCAAGATCTGTTCAGCACAGCACAGGCTAGGGCTTTGATGCTTTCTCCAGAATAGGTCGTGCCTGTTGTTTACTACCCTAAATGCCATTACTGGTGGATGCTGCTGCTAAGGTATTTGTATTCCCACTCTGGCCATTAAACCATAATATAATCTTGGGAGTGTAGCGTGCAGCAGCAGTGGTGCTTTTCATAGATCTCCTCCATGCCTCATCAAGCCCTTGTTCTGTTATCCTGAGACCTTGTCTGATGAGGGCTGGAGAAATTACGGAAGAACTGTCTTTAGGCAGGGTCTGAGCCAGCAGTTGCTACTTATCCCTGTAAAAATTGAACAGTTCCCACCATTTACAAGGCAGACTGATTTTGGGGGCCTTGTAATAGGAATGAAAAATTCTTTCTAATGGCATCTGAAGTCTTATTGTAATGTATAAAAAGAATTCTTAAGTGATGACTAAGAGTATGTCTATGTATGTAATACACAAAAAGGAGATTTAAAGATACTAAAGTGCCTTCAAAGTCTGATTTGCAGTTGCAATGAACTCTACAGTGCTTGTGTTTCAAAGGTATGGCCTTTTCATATTTATTTTAGCCAGTTCAGAAAATGCCAGAAAACAAATATGAATAAACATAAGTTGAAATGGAGGTTGCAGATTATGTCTCTCTGGAAATCCATCTTGAGCTCTTTACATGATTCTGACTTTTGAAATTAAGTTATTCTTGTGCTGTATCATCTTCTACAGAAGGTAACTGCGGGTCAGTTAACTATGTTTTGCCAGTACAATTTGGGGTGCGTTGAGAACTGGGCTGATGCTAACATGTACCAAATCTTCCTATGTGGGAATGCTGCCTAATATGCCAAATCCAGGTATTTAATGATATTACTACAAAAATCCAAATCCACTTTTTTATCCTATATACATAAATTTGAAAAGCAAATTGTGCAAAAATACAGTTAACTTTTCATGCTTAATTGACACAGTCAAGTATTATTTTCACTGTTATCAGTATTATGTAAATGATAGAACTTGTGCTTGGCTATTGACACTAGCCTACTAAGTACTCACATGAAGATGAAGGAATTTGGAAATTAAGAAAATTGTTACCTCTGACTTTAGAAAACAGTGTACTGACACTTGTTTTTCATGTTTTTAATGCAGATTTACCTTTGTTTCAGGTTATACACCAGGCACCCCATATAAAGTATCTTGTTCACCCACTAGTGGTGCAGTGCCACCATATTCTTCATCACCAAATCCCTATCAGACTGCTGTGTACCCAGTTCGAAGTGCCTATCCACAGCAGAATCCATATGCACAGGTAAATGAACAAAACCAAAAAACTGTCTGTTTGGATACTATTTTGTTTACCTTGTAGTATCTGCTTGAACTCTTAACTTTACATCACATTTATTTCTTCGTGGATGGAGAGAATTTTTAGCTGCCTACAGTAAGAATTCTTAATAGAGTGATTTACAGTGTGTGTAAGTGCACTTTTACATTCTCTCACATGACAGTTACTCTGCACTTACTAATAACATGTTCAGTCTTTGAAGAGACACTAGATTCAGTTTAATTTTAAAAATGTGTGCTGGATGCTATAACTACCATATCCTGATTTCATTTTGTCAAAAATTGTCATAACTTGCATTAATTTTTTTTTTAAGGAAGCCTCTGTTGTGATTCAGGGAGTTACCAAGTCTCATACTAGGCAAACTGTTGAAAACTATTAGAAAGGATAGAATGAAGACACTTCAGTAAACATGATATTTTGGGGAAAAGTTGGCCCTCTTTTTGCATAGAGGAAACTTGCCGGGTGTGTATGCAGTAGCTGAAGGGAATTAATAAGCACATAACAAGGTTTATCGAATCTGCTTAGCGTATTTGGTCAAAACCCTTTGGCTCTTTAACTAAAAGCAGCTGAATAAAAAGTTGTGAAAGAATGAGGGAAGTTCTGTCATGGATTAATATATGAAAAGATGTGAAACAAAGGGACTGAATGATGAATGAGCCCTTATTGCCAAAGGTGTAGTCGGCATTGGAGTTCTACAAAGGTTCCTGCTTTTGAGTGTTATCCTAAATGCCTTAGAAAGGGGATAAATGTTAAAAAGTTTGCCAGTGAAATGCAGTTGGAATAGTTGAAATGAATGTTTTGGCTTCTGCTCTGTAAACACATTGCATCTTTAGAATAATGCTTTTATTTTATGATACATTCATGAAAGAAGACATCATTTATCTTCTCCACCAGATATACTATAATTACTTAACTTACTTTTTTTCTGTAACAGCAAGGCACTTATTACACACAGCCTTTATATGCAGCACCACCCCACGTAATTCACCACACCACAGTTGTGCAGCCTAACGGCATGCCAGCAACTATGTATCCTGCTCCAATTCCGCCACCAAGAGGGAACGGTGTGACTATGGGGATGGTGGCTGGGACTACTATGGCAATGTCAGCAGGTATGTGAACTTATAACCCTTATGTTTTCTTGATGAAGCTCTCCTTTCAGGTCAAGACAGAACACAGCTGTGTTACAAAAATGTGATGCCAGAGGTGTACTTGACAGAATCGTAAAATTGTTTAGATTAGAAGGGACTTTTGTAGGTCATCTAGTCCAGCGTCTTCAAAGCGGGTCCAGCTAGATCAGGTTGCATACTTGTTCAGTGATATTTTGATCATCTCTAAGGATGGAGATATCGCATCCTTTTTTCAGATATTAGTATTATGATAAAAGTTCTTTTTATCTGTATGGAATTTCACTTACTCTTGCATCCTTTGCTTCTTATCTTAGTGTCAAGAGTCTGACTTCCTCTTCTCAATACATTTCTCTATGCCTAGCTGAAAACAGCAACTTCTTAAGACTGAGGAAAATGCAGTGTTCTCAGCCCACCCCTCATATTGCTGACCTTTGTATGTTGAGATATAACATTTTATGTGTGTGCATTACCTGCAGGTCTTCTGTGTCATAGGCAATGGTTAGAGATGTCTACTTCCTAATGCCACACTCTTTTAGTGGTAGTGTTTTGGAGAAAATGTTGTTTAACCAATATCTAGACTCATCTATGAGTGTTTACTTGAGGGGGTGTCATGCTTTGTTACTGAGTGGGTGTTAGCTCACGAAGAAATGTCCATGTTCACTCAAAGGACACTCAATTCAGTAATCTAAAAAATGAGAGCCATGAGCTTGTTTTCAGATTCTGTTTTTTTATCTTGTCAAATTTATCATTTAATTTGAGGATATCATTAATATCATTTAAAACTAGAGAAGTTATGCGTCACAAACTGAGCTAACATTGGAGTTTTGTATGTGGGCAAGCTTATCCCAGGTGTTTGTTACTGTTTCTACAAAGTGCTGTAGAGTAAGACTGCTAAGATCCTGCCACCTCAGCCTCTTTCTTTCTGAAGCCCCTTAGTCTGTAAAAACCTATCTGGAATAATGCAAACAAGAACTTGGCTGATAAATCAGAATAAATTAGTTATCTCTACCATCCAGTATTCTTATGGCATGTAAAGCCTGCTGTGGGAAAAAGTTTTGCTGTGAATAATGCTTATGTTGCAGGGTTTCTGCTAGAGCTATTTTTGAGTAATGAGTATCTTTGTGTGCATTGGACTAAACATCAAAATGATCCTCTTGCATAAATGATTGAAGGAAGATTGGGGCTGGAGTGCAAAATGATACTGGTAATTTTAAATTGGAAGATGAGCAAGCTGTAATTGTTTTTAAAATTAACTCTTTTTTTCTCCTTTTTTTTTTTTTCCTGTACTAGAATTTGTGCTTACTGAAAAAAAATGTTCTCTTCATCCTAGGTACTTTGTTGACAACTCATTCCCCAACTCCAGTAGCCCCTCATCCAGTTACTATGCCCACATATCGGGCTCCAGGAACACCAACCTATAGTTATGTGCCCCCACAGTGGTGATCATCCTGGCAGTCAGTGTAAGTTACCGATTTAGATTGAAAGCAGTTAATCTTTCTTATAAATGACAGCATTGCAGGTTCTTTTGGGGAGATTTTTCAGAAGGTAAGCAGTCTGGGGTATTCCTACAGTATTCTAATTGAGTCAGAATACACAAAAATTATTGCTTATGTAATAGCTGTTCCCTGCAAAGGAGGGAAGCCTAGTGGGACTTCTTCAGTGGTCTGTATCTTCAGAAATCATGAAACGTTTTCATGGTTCATGATTGTCGAATATGAAAGAATGAGCCTCAAGTTTGCCTTATTAAAATACATCTGGGACTAAATGTATTCAGTATTTTGGATTCATTGGTAATTGTTGAATTCAGCAGTACTGTGATTTGTGAATGAAGCAATGTGTGTAACTTTGTAGTTTTATTTTTGATTGGCTAAATATGTAGGCAAGCTAAGTGTCTTGCCTTGCTCTGAAGGTGAATCTTTCTCACAAGCTGCTGAAACAAATACACAACCTTGAGTTAATTTCATATATTCACTCTGTTTCAGGTAAGTCTCAGTTCATACTTCTTGCAGTCAGCATGGGAAGATCGTTTCTAGCGTGGACCAAAATTTAGATCATGGGTTTCAAGAAAAGGTGTTTAAATTTGAAGTCTGCTATGAGGTGGGATGGATTTTGGGGGCGTAATGTGTGTCAAACTGACACAAAGCCTAATGTTTTTGGGAACCTCACTTCTGCTTCTGTTGTTTTTAGCATACATTGAGAACAGCTTCATTTGAAATAAGGACTTGTCAGACCAACTGAACTAGGCATTTTCACTTCTGGTCCATTTAGTTTATGACAAAGTTAACTTTATTTTAACTCTCTTTGGATTTCTGTTTCAGCAGTTAATATTTCATCCAAGAATGTCATATTACATGAGTATAAAAAGTGAGAGTTTTGCTGTGACTAAACTCATGACTGCTGATAATTAAATTTAGCATAAAATACCTTTTTAATATTGCATCTTCTACTTAAGACAAAACTACTAGTGAGGACAGAAAGCTGGAATAGACATGACAGGAGAAAATCAATGTAGCAAATTCTTAGCCTAGAAGCCTATAGATTTCAGTTGACTGGATAAGTGCTAGGGTAGCATTATATAATACTTAACATCTGTTGTGTGTGCATATCAGTGTGGTGCATGCAATGTTAGAATGTTCTGCCACACTCAAATAGTATTTCACATAATTGAGAATTTCCTACTTTTTCCCCCCCCTCCCCCCCCCCCCCCCCTTAACATAGGTTTGAAGATGGGAGATATGCAATCAAGAAATTGAGGTTTAAAAGTTGGTGCTGAAGCCCTCATGCCTCCAACCAGGACTTTTCTTCTGAATGCTTTCAACACTTGGCTAAACACTACTAATTCCTGATCACTGAAGATTTTCCAGTGCTGCATATCTTACATCTTGGAACTCCAGCAGTTAGTCTTAAAGCAAATCCTGTTTTGTGGACTGTCTTGCAATTTTTTAGCTAATTATAATGATAAAAAGGGAGTATAAATTTATTCTGATCCATATCTAGTGGAATGCATGTTAAAACACAAAAACAAAGCTTGCTCAATCTACCTGCAGTGACTGATGCAAAAACCATCATATGCAAATCCAAAGGAACAGAAAAGTATTTTACAACTTGTATCACTAATGCACTGCTGTAATGTATGCAGGGTCTTAAAAGGTAGAATCATGAAAGTGAGTTTCTTTATAAAATACCATAATATACATTAGATAAGTGCTTCAGCCTTTTTCAGGTTGATGGAGTTGCCAGTTTAAAAGGGGCATATTTTTATTTAAGTGATGTATTCTTTTCAAATTCAACTACTAAATTGGAGTGACTGGAAAATGAGTCAGACAAGCTGTAGAAATCCCGCACACAATTAGTTTACTTCATACCTTTTCGTTTTCATTATATGGATTCAGTGTTATACAGATGTTCTTAAGGATCAGAATGAAATGGCAAAGGTAATGCTGTGTGTGCCAGTAAATAAAGCAAACTTCCTTGAGGCAAAACTGGCTCTTAGGAATAGTAGGAGGTGACATCACCTGCAAAATGAATTGCATGTCCTGGGGAAATACATATCCAGTACTATCTTTCATATGATGCAAGATGTGTCAAAGTGAGACTGCCACACAGACTGATCGAAAAACACTTTCTTTTAGTTCTCAGTTCAGGAAATCCGTGCTGTTTTTCCTAAAGAATGTTGTAGTCAGTTGAAAATGTTATGTGCAGTTGATCCAACTTGCTTTCCTGAAACTTAAGAAATGCTAGGGCTTTCTACAACAAACAGGAGGAGTTCAGCTGCATGTTATTCTGAGGAAAGCTTGTGTGCCTGATAAGTATGTTAAAGGGGAACAAATCATTTTAACACAATTTCCTTATTAGCTACTTGCAGTATGAACTATGGATATGCTGTAGTAGGGCTGCCAGAATATAGAGGTTTCAAATAGTTGGGGTTTTTTTTCCTGAAAATATTTGTAATTGAAGTAGGAGCCATTTGTTGGTTACAGCATTTTGATGTGTTTTCTTAGTATTTTCTTTTTTTACTTCCTAAATTGCACTTGGAATCACATAAAATAAGACTGACTGCAGATTAGCATTTCATTGCAATGAGTCATTTCTGATATTCTTTCTTGCAACTTCAATTTTTAAAAAGTACCTCAAAGCAAATGCTGTGGGGATAAAGGGCTAGCCTTAGAACCCATTTGTATATCAAAATTGTTATGGGGGAGATTTTAAATTTTTAAATTTGAATATTGCACATAAAATCAAGGTTTTTCTTAAACCTGCTTGACTTACGACTCCAGAAAGATGCGATTTTCTTTTTTTTTTTTTTTGATACATTCTGCCTGCAATAAATTATGCAGTAAATGGTTATAAAATGTTGTTCCCTTTTAAGTGTTTACACAGAGGTATATCAGGCTGTATTGTTCTTGTAGGTTAATTTCCATTCAGAAGTAAATTTTTTTAAGTTGTATATCTAGTTACGCTTTGTTTTGGGGTGTTCTGCTTCTATACAGATTTGGCAGCTACTTCAGGGTAGCATCAGTGCTGATTTAATGCTGCCATTCCAGTACTCTGCCCTGGCAGGAGGCTTATGTTCCTTCATAACCCATTGGTGGTTAGAGCCTTCAGCAACTTTATTTTTTTGCACTGTGCACTGTCCATATATTTTACTCCCCCCCCCCTCTTTTTTTTTTTTTATTTTTTTACAGTAAGCACTGTCCATATATTTTACTCCCCCCCCCCTTTTTTTTTTGTTTAATAATGTTCAGGTTTATTTTGCATGAATCACTGTCAGTGGACGGCCCCCTTATTTCTAATGCCTTGAACATAACTGTGTTGTTGGAATAAGTACTTTAAACCTTACTCAGAGCACTTACTGCAGCTTAGGGATTTCCATATGTTTTTATATGGAGCAGAAAATTAACCCCAGACAAACAATTTGAATCTGTACTGCTTCGTTCAAGTCTGTTTAACAATTCCATTTGTGTAGTAGATTTGCAGCTTTGATTAGTCAGGTGTGCCAGAGAGTACAGTGAACATTAATCCAGGCCATTTGTCCATTTTAGCTAGTAGAGAGTGACATTTTGTTGTCTTAGCATGATTTTAACAAAGAGCTGTGAGGTATGAAACAGTGCTATATTGGGGAGAAGCTATAAAGAACAAGCTCAAAGCTTTGCTGTCTCCTGTCTCATCACCTAATAAACTAAAGCTTTGAAAATCATAGGAGAGAACTTTTGTGAATGCTGCAATAGATAAATAGTTAAGGAATGAATATAACTTCCTATATATTTGCTCTAACTTCAGATTCCTAAATGTCATCTTGGAATTGGTCTCTATATAATATTCCGTAACATTTAGGCAGTCTCACTTGAGCACTTTTTTTTCTAAGTTGCATTATGGGATTCATCCACGAGGGGGAAACTGTACCTTTTTTAAAAGGTACTTACACCTTCCAGTTTTGATCGATTATAATCTGCTGGGAGGGTGGAGCATGTCTCCAGTAGTTGATATGGAAAGTAACCAAAAGCACAGTGCAGGGGGACGGGGGGAATATGTGTATATATAACTATCTTAATGGTATTTTGTTGCAAATAGTAGAAAGCATGGATATAAAACTGCGGCGGGGGAAACTGTACATCATTAAATAGGCGTTTACACAGTGAGGGTCTTATGAAACATTCTCTCCTGCTTTTTATATAACATTCCCTATTTAGAATTCCTTTATAAATAAATACGCAGTATGTGTTTGCACTAGAGCTCCTCAGCAAATGAAAAGAGCTAGTGCAGTAGAGACATTTCAGATCAAGCTTCTCTTTAAAAAAAAAAAAAAAAAAAAACAAAACAAAAAAAAACCTTAGCTTTATATGATTAAAAAAAAGTACTACTTTAAACCTGGAACTGAAAATAACTGTTGCAGCAATAACAAAGAGAAGTCCAAGAAAGAATTTTTTTTTTTATTCAAATTTCAGGTGTTGAGTTTAGATAAAGTATTTTTTAAAAACTGAGGTATTCCCTATGTCATTAACAACTGATGAAAATGTCTTTTAAATGTAGCAGCAGCAAAAGAAAAATGGCTAATAATTGGCACCAAAACCGTGTAGCCCTAGTCAGTGGCGTGGTGGTGATTAATGAAACACTAGGAAGGAAAACAGAGAACCTACTACTAGATCTTGCTTATGCTTATTGTAACCATCTCCTGTTTGAAGTTTCTAGGAGACGTGCAGGAATGCTGTTCAAGAAAGCTTCTTTTTGAGTGTACTATGCAAGTTAAATGCTTAGATGCAGTGGTGGATGAAAAAAATCCTTCATTTTAGTTGAAGTCCTTCCTTGTATGGCTTCATCCACTGAAAAAAAAAAAAAATCCCACCACCGCCACCTGTAAGTACCACCATGTCTTAGTGTTGTCTGAGAATAGTTCATGGTACAGAGTTGTATACCAGGGTACTCAACGTTGACTACTCTTCACGGAGCATTCTGGCTTCACTGCTCCTTGGGGTAGTAAGGCCACTTAAGGTATCTGAGCAAGAGATGGTCAGAATTGACTTGGAATCACTCCCCAGTGCTTAAGCACAGTATTATACACCCACCATTCATTTGGGTTTAGAATAAACTTTTGCTTGAATAGGTAAGCACAGCGATCCGATACCACCACTTAACTCTAGGCTTAAACTCATACCAGAGAGTAGTAAATACCATGTATGTGAAACCTCCCATCTTAGGAACATGAACAGTAGCGATGCTTCAGCTGGAACTTGTGGAGAAAGAGAACAGATGCTGTGGTGGTTGAATGGTAATTTGCAGTTGCCCAGGCTGTGGTTTGTGCAGTAGTCGGTAGGAAATAGGCATGATCCGTATCCAGCCTTCTCCAGCAGGTGTCACTGGCCGACCTTCGCATGTGCAGAGGGTCAGAAGCAATCCGTTAATCCTCATGTCGAAGTGTTTGTGAACACCTGTTCAAAAGACATAAAGATTTAAGTTCATTCAGATTGTTCTCATTAATAAGTGTCAGCTTTCTAATCTTGTATTTTATCAACTCTAAGCTTCCTGCAGAGACCCTCAGATTTGACGAGGTAGAATGCCAATTAACAGGAACAACTGCAGCAAAGTTAGGATAGTTTTGTGCATCAAGCCTCACCAAGATTCGAGTTCATTCTGAGATCTCTGAAGTAGTGAGGACTCTTTCAACAGGCTGTGTACACCTCTGTTTGGGGGGGTGTTGGGAGAAACTAAGGCGTGTTTTGTAGGCAGAAGAGAGGGAAGAGGAACAATGCTTATCTGGGGACAAGGAAACCTTTTCTTGTGTGGGTTGAATATAATGCTGAAACATCTGAATCCCACAGGTAGTAAGGGTCCATTTGTGATTAAAAAAATATTCTGAAGAATTTATGGGCTCTGAAGTTTCAACATCAAGAAAGTGAGCATGACTTTTCTAAACTGTTGTGACTTTTGGGCACTTAGCAGGCAAACTGGGAAAGCTTTTTTAGCTGACTGCTGTACAGACTTGTTTTAAGTAGAATGGATTTGTTAGTGGGTTTTTTTTATTGTAATGCTATTATTGGCTGCCCTCATGCCTAAGATTTGAAAAAGTGAGTGCATGCAATGGAAGTACAAGAGGCCCCAGTAATAGTTCTCCATGTTTGTTATGAAATAGACACAGGTTTCCTTTTTATGACTTTTTTTAAAACTGTCTTACGAACAGTTGTATTGGTACTTTTTTTAAGTTTAGGTCAATGTTGTCTTCCAGAATAAGTTTTAAGGCATCACTCACTCCTGCATTGAACTATTGCATCAACACAAAGAGTGGAGATTCCATTCTGAGCCAGTTCAATTGTGAAAATTCATACTTTTTTATTTTTTATGCAATTCAATGAGTAGATGAGCTCAGATTTAAATTCTTAAAAGCACGTTTATTGTAACAAGAATTGTTATGTATTAATACTTCAGTTTTCAATAAAGATTGACTTGTGTTGCTTATTGTGTTTTTTTCCTACTGTCTTTGGTGACATCCTTTTAAAAAAGATTCTGTTGCTGAATAGTAGTACGGTATGTTGAAACTCTGTAATGAAATCTGGTGACTGATCAGAGCAAAACATTTAAATTGGTGAAGTGACTTTTCTCGATAAGGTTTCTTAATGGCTAACAAAACACAGTAGTAAAGGCTTCCCTTAATTCCCTTGGGGAATAAGGTGCCCTAAGTTGCCCTGCCTGAGAGTATGGTAAAGATGGTGCAACCCTGCTCCGTTTCCTTTTGAGGCGTTTCCTGGGGTTTGAGTTTATTTTATAGCTTAAAACAAAGAAAATGGAACAGATGTAAAATTTCACAATGCTTTAGCATTTACTTAATACCGAATCAGTGCTGATTCAGAGGTGACAGGTCTTGAGCAGAAAGCTGTTATAAATCAGTGTCTTGAATGTTCCCCAGAAGGAAAAGAATTGAGTAGGTGTGAGGTGTGGGTAATTATCCTGTTTCTTCAGAGTGTGGGTGGCTGTAAATGACACTAATGTTAAAATGGAAGTATGTATGTTTTGTGGGGGACAGGATTATACTGCTTGAACTAACCGGTTATTTTCATTTATTGTAGGTCTCCAAAAATAACAATAACTTACCTGGTAATGTTCCTGTGAAAACCAACGCTTGTGGAAGAGGAAGGTACAACGCCAATAACTGCATCGAACTGCAGAAATAGCGTTTGGTTTTTGAGATCATTGCTACAGGGTTTTTTTTGTTGTTCAGTCAAGTACTTTGGCTTCTAAAATAGTAGCCAAGCACTATGAATCCCGGGAACATTCTTTTTTTTTTTTCAGTGCGTTTTACCTCAAGCTAATTGCTGGTCAGTTATCCTGGGATCACTTATTTTACAGGGAGATAGGTTTGGGTTTTGTGGTTTTTGTTGGTTTTTTTTTTTTGTTTGGTGGTTTGATTTTTTTTTTTTTTTGTGGTGTTTTGGTTTGTGTTTTTTGTTGTTTTTTTTTTTCCTTTGGGGTTTTGGGGGTTTTTTTGGTGTGTTTCTCTCCCCCAAGATCATTGGAACCGATGAAAACTCATAATCCCTAACCGGTGGGTTGCTGGAATCTGGGAGGATATAAAGGGGCAATACTATTCTTCAGAATGATGCTGATCATTCTTGGGTTAGAGGGATTCTGGTCTAGCTGTTCTTGTGGTAGTCTATTGTTGGGAAGAATTACTTATACTGTATCTGATGCTCATAAGAACGTGGTACTGAACTTCTAAGTCTGTATATGGGGTTTCTTGCTTGTTTGTTTTAAATGTATCCATGAACTACCAAAATGGTGTGTCAGTAATGGTTTGATTTTTCCCTCTTCCCAGATGCATTTTGCAATGATGATGTGATGCATATTACTCTCCCACTTACTTGCTGATGAGTGGCTGTTAGTTATTTGCTATGAAGGTTAGATGAATTGATAAGAACTCTCCTCATTTTAGAGGCAGCTTTGAACACTTGGTAACAGCCAGAGCCCCTTCCAGAAAAATAACTGCTCAGTTAGCGATTGTCAGAAATAAGGCAAGAAGTTTTGAGTTTCAAGTTTTCCTGTAACTAATTATGGACAAAAAGAAAGTTTGCTTTTTCTAACATCTTGCTTTAGATTCTGAACTCCATGGCTCGCTGTAGACAAATTCAGGTAACAGAAATAGTTTTGCTGGTGAGCTCCCCTAGAGTCAGGAGTGATGTA